CTGTTTCTGTACTAGTACCATGCTGTTTTGATTACAACTGCCCTGTAGTATGTCCTGAAATCTGGTATTGTGATGCCTCCATCTTTGTTTTTGTTGTACAAAATTGCTTTAGCTATTCGAGGTCTCCTGCGTCTCCATAAGAATTTCAGCATCTTTTTTTCTAGATCTGAGAAGAATGTCTTTGGTATCTTGATTGGTAATCGCATTGAATGTATAAATTGCTTTTTGGAGAATGGTCATTTTGATGATGTTGATTCTTCTAATCCATGATCATGGAAGATTTTTCCATTTTTTTTGGTATCCTTCTCTTTTTCTTTCTTTAAGATTTTCTAATTCTCATCGAAGAGATCTTTAACGTCCTTGGTTAAGTTTATTCCAAGGTATTTGATTGTTTTTGTAGCTATTGTGAATGGGATTGAACTTAGCAGTTCTTTCTCAGCTGTTGCGTTGCCTGTGTATACAAAGGCTGTTGATTTTTGTGCATTGATTTTATATCCTGCTACTTTGCCAAACTCCTCTATGAGTTCCAATAGTCTCTTAGTAGAGTTCTTTGGGTCGCCTAAATAAAGAATCATATCATCTGCAAAGAGGGATAGTTTGAGTTCTTCCTTCCCAATTTGTATTCTTTAATTTCTTTTTCTTGCCTGATGGCTCTGGCTAAGACTTCCAGAACTATGTTTAATAGCAGTGGTGAGAGAGGGCATCCCTGTCTGGTACCAGATCTCAGTGGAAATGCTTCCAACTTTTCCCCATTCAATAGGATGCTGGCCATGGGTTTTTCATAAATTGCTTTGATTATATTGAGGAATGTTCCTTCTATACACAATTTGCTTAGAGTTTTCATCATGAAAGGGTGTTGAATTTTATCGAATGCTTTCTCTGCATCTATTGAGATAATCATATGTTTCTTCTTCAGTTTGTTAATGTGGTGTATCACATTGATTGATGGTGAACATTGAACCATCCCTGCATACCAGGGATAAATTCCACTTGGTCTGGGTGGATGATTTT